TGAGTGCGCCGCCCGGCCGGCGTGGGGACGGGCGCCTGGTGCCCTGTGCCGCGTGGCTGAGGACTCCCTTTGCCGCAGGTCCTGCCAGCACGCCCGAGTCCTCGCCAGCCGGTGGCAAGAGGAGGAGGGCAGGAGCCTGGCTGTCATCCCCTGAGGACATGGTGAGCTCGTGCACACACGTGTGCTGGGAGCCGGGGCGCTTCGCTGTTGGCGTGGGCGCCCGCCAGCCTGCGCCCCTTTCTCCTATGCAGGCGTCTGGCGCGGCCTTCTGCCTCCCCATCCCCTTGCCTGCGCTGGGGGCTGCTGCCTGGGAGCCTGGGGACAAGACGGCCATCGCGGCTGGCAGGGTGGCGAGCAGTTCCTGGCACAGCCCGCCGTTCCCCAGCGCCCTTTCCCCATACCGGCTGAGTCCGCGCCAGGACCCCGCACTCAGGACCATCAAGGGAGCTGCCCCAGGGCCGCCTGCTGGCATCTGGAGCCCTGGCAAGACCCTTGAGGACCCCCGCCTGGAAGCTTTAGTGACTCACAGGGACACCAGTGTGGGCGGCTGGGCCCGGGACCCGGGCAGCTGCCACACGTGGGCCACCGGCCTGGGCCCATGGGAGCTGCGGGCACTGCAGCGCCTGCCCCTGTCCTTCTTCCCGCCCTCGGCAGCGCTGGAGCGTGGCATGTCGCCCCCCCCGACCGCGCAAACTGGCTCCAGCCCCGAGGCCTGGGCCTTCCCCCGTATGAGGCTGTATTGAGACCCCTGGCCGCCTGCTGCCGGTGCCCCAATAAAGGCACTTCTTGCACTCGAGCGCAGGCTGTTCTTGGTGCAGCCCCCACCCTGGTGCAGCGCCCTCCCCCCCATGGACACTGCTGCTTCTCCCCGGGGAGGGGTGCGATTAGGCAGCTCTAAGGAGCCATGAGCCACAGCTTGTTTCAGTTCTCCCAGGGGCTAGTCTACATCCTGAGCTCGGCAGGCAGGTGCGGGCTGGGGAGTGAGAGAGAGCAGGGGCCCTGCAGCCCGGATGCCTGGGTTCTCTCCAGCTGTGGGAAGGGGTTGCAGGCTGTGGGGTGAGAGGGGGGGGCCTGGCCCGGACACCTGCAGACTCTAGCAGGAAACCGCCTCCCTGCTCTTCCGTTCACCCCAGCCCTGGCATGGCATGGCATGAAGGACACGTGGGAGCGGGCAATGCTGTGTCATGACCATTTGCATGGTGGATTGTACAGGGGAGCCCCCCCAACAGTCCCACGCCATGAGCTGGGGATCAGCTACTTGGGCCGGGCCCCTCCGTGCCAGGGTCATCGAAGCAGCACAGTTCCTCGTCTTTGCCATCGGCATGGCTGCCCCGCACGGCGCAGCACAGCTGGGCCCAGAAGAGGGACTGGGCAGCGGGCTCGGGCGGCCAGTGGATATAGGTCTTGCGCAGCATGACCTTGCGCATGCGGTGGTAGGCGGACAGCTCGCGCTCTGGCACGTCCTCCAGCAGCACCAGCACCAGCACGTCGCGCAGCTCGTCAAAGAGGCGGTAGCTGGCCAGCTGGATCTCCAGCGAGCACCATTCGCTGCGCAGGTAGCGTCGGCTTAGCACGCACACTGTCTTACGGCTGCTGTAGATGCCGTCCACGATGTTGTCCACGATGCTGCGGCCCAGGCGGAAGTCCCGATGGTGCAGGCAGAGGCACAGGCCGGCGCCCTCCAGCTGCGGCACCAGGTCCTGCAGAACCCATGCCTCATCAGCTGAGTTGTAGGACACAAAGGCATCATAGCGGTAGTGTCCTTCGTCTGCCCGCTGCCATCGCTCATTGACCCAGGAGCGCAGCAGGAAGCAGTGGTAGCGTAGGCGCCAGTAGGCACGCAGGTACAGCACGGGCAGCGCCATGAACAGCAGCAGTGCTGGCGCCGTGGCAGCGAAGAGGTAGAGCCCCACATCCAGGAAGCAGACAGTGGCGCTGAAGCCGTGCAGGTAGGTGGGTGGCCCACGCCTGGCACAGGTGAGGTTGTACAGGTAGACCACCTGCGCATGGCTGCTGTTGAGCCAAGGCCAGAGCCAGGCATCGGCACAGGCACAGCTCAGTGGGCACTTGCGCAGGTCCAGGTAGTGCAGGGTGCGCAGAGCCCGTGCCACGCTGCCGTTGAAAGTGCGCAGCTCATTCTTGGCCAGCCGCAACTCCTCAAGTTGGGTAAGGTTACCCAGCACCTCAAGTGAGAGCGTGTGCACGCCAGCGTTCTCTAGGTCCAGCACGCGCAGGCGGCTCAGGTTCTTGAAGACGCCGGGTGGCAGGTCCCACATGCCGTTGCTGCTGTCGGCCAGCGTCAAGTAGCGCAGCTGTGCCAGGTCGTCGAAGGCATCGGGCGGCACACTCAGCAGCTTGTTTTGCGCCAGGTAGAGTGCCTGTAGTGCTGTGAGCCCGCGGAAGAAGTGATGCGGGATGAGCTTCAGGCCATACGGCTGTTGCGCCTGCAGCTTGAGGTCGGTGAGCCGGTTTAGGTATAGGAAGGGCGGTTCGTGTGTCAGCTGTGCCGTGATGTACTGCAGTCGGTTGCCCTTGAGGTCCAGCACCTCCAGTGTGGTCTGCACGGGCTGGAAGATGTCGGCACTGATATGGGCGATGTGGTTGCCATCCAGGTAGAGCCGGGCAAGGCTGCCAAGGCCGTGGAAGGCGGCGGGTGTGAGGCGCCGCAGGATGTTGCCGCCCAGGTCCAGGGTGCGCAGGTGGCCGAGGTGCTTGAAGACACCAGGGAAGAGCACAGCAACACGGTTGTTGCGCAGGTTGAGGGTCTCCAGGCGCGGTAGACCAGCAAAGCTCTCGATATATAAGTCAGTCAGCAGGTTGTTGTCCAGCCGCAGCTCGGTCAGGCCAGGCAGTGTTCCCAGTGCCTGCCGGTGCAGGAAGGCCACAGTGTTGATGTTGAGTCGTAGTGCACGCAAGTTGGGGGCAAAGGCGAAGGCGCCCCGCCCTACCGACAGCACGCGGTTGTAGCTCAGGTTGAGCTCCCGCAGCATTGGCAGGCGCATGGCCTGCAGGCAGCTGCCCAGTCCCGCCAGCAAGTTGTGCTCGGCTGTCAGGTTCTCCAGCACCGCACGCTGCGGCGCTGACAGGAACTCGCCCACGCAGCCCAGCGCCCGCAGCCGGTTGCCTGACAGGTCCAGCGCCCGCATGGGCGGACAGGCGGCCAGCGAGCCGTTGTGCAGCATGTGCAGCTCCAGGTGCTGCAGCAGGAGCTGAGTCAAGGGTGCAGGGCCCAGGCACCGGCACACGCCGTGCACGCCCTTGGCGCCCAGTGGCAGCCCTGAGAAGTCCAAGCTGCGGTTTGGCACATTGGACACGGCCAGCAGCTGGAAGGGGTCCAGCTGGTTGCCCGCCAGCCGCAGGATGCTGAGGTGGGCGAGGCTCACGCGGGCGAAGGAGTCGGCATCTGACAGGTTGTTGTAGCTGAGGTCCAGGTCACGCACACCCGCCAAGAGTGCACGCCCGCCGCCGTCCACCGCTACCAGCGAGTTGTTGCAGAGCCGCAGCACGGCCAACGAGGGCGGCAAGCCCGGGCTGGGGCCCAGTGCTCGCAGCCTGTTGCCGCACAGGCTCAGCTCCTGCAGTGCCGTCAGACCCTGCAGGCTCTGTGCTATGGTGCCGAAGTCACACAGGTGGCAGGAGCACAGCAGCAGGCGGCGCAGGTTGGGCAGCGGTCCAAAGGCGTCCACCGGCAGCATGCGCAACGGGTTGGTATTCAGCACCAGCTCGGTGAGGTTGGGCAGGCCAGTGAAGGCGCCAGCGGGCAGTGTCTGCAGCTGGTTGTGGGACAGGTTGAGGCTTTGTAGGGCTTGCAGGCCAACAAAGGCACCAGGCGCCAGGTCGCACAGCTGGTTGAAGGGCAGGTGCAGACTGCGCAGCGCGGGCAGGTGGGTGAAGGCGCCAGGCAGCAGGCAGGCGATGGTGTTGTGGGCCACCTCCAGCACTGTGGTGTTGGCTGGCAGGTCACCCACTGCACCGGCCATGTTGCTCAGGAAGCGCTGGATGCAGCGGAAGTGCCCGGGGTCATCTGGTGCCTGCAGGCAGTTGCGGAAACCATAGGCCGGCACCCCTGGTGCCCGCACCAGCACCAGCATCAGTGCCAGCAGTGCCGTGCCATGCTGGGCCAGACTGCCGTGTCCCTGCTCCATCGCTGAGTCCTGCAAGGGAACGGGTGGTTTGAGGACCCAGGCGTCCGGGTGTCTCACCCCCACCTGCTGGAGCTTGGAGAACCCAGGTGTCTGGGTGCTCCAACCGGACCTACCAGAGTCAGGAAAACCCAGGTGTCTGGGCTCCCAGGTCTTCCCAGGACAATCTGCACCCCTCAAGCCTGGGGGCTTGGATCCCTGGGTTCTTGGGCTTGGGGGCTGGGAGCAGGGGCCCAGCTGCCTGGGTTCCTTGCCCAGCTGCAGGGGGAGAGGGAGGCCTGGGGTCAGAGGTCAGAGCAGGGGGCTGGGGCCCAGATGCTTGGGTTCTCTTCAGCTCTGGGAGAGGAATGGGGGTCTGGGGTCTGAGCAGGGGGCTGGGAGCCAGGACGTCTGGGTTCTGCCCCCAGCCCTGGGGCCCTACCTGCATGTGGCTGGAACCGGGAGCGTCTGCACTGACGGCACGGGCAGAGGGGAAGTGCCACGGGTCTCGCTTTCGGTCATGCTCCAGCTGATGCGTGCGGCCCCAGACTCCCTCCCAGCCCCGCCCAGACTGTGGGGCCTGGGGCAGGAGGGGCTGGGGGCCTGGACATGTGGGTCCTGTCCTGCCTCTCAGGGTCTGTTGGGCTGGAGCAGGGGGG